CCGTTACCGGTGGGGGTGGGTTGAGTACACTGGCCTTGTTGCTTGTTGTGAGCTGCTGGAGGAGGGGAGCTTGAGCCTGATCCCTGTCTCTCTCTGTGTTGTCTTCGCTCCCCCACTCTCCCTTAGTGTGATCCGGCTCATTATGCAGTACCTGAAGGAGAACAGCCTTCATCGTGCACTGGCCACTCTCCAGGAGGAGACCACTGTGTCCCTCAACACTGTGGACAGCATTGAGAGCTTTGTGGCAGACATCAACAGTGGGCACTGGGACACAGTGTTACAGGCTATACAGTCCCTCAAGCTTCCAGACAAGACCCTGATTGACCTCTATGAACAGGTGGATGTGTCACCAACATAGTATCAGCCATACGCTCTATTGTGCATTTATGAACATCACTCTGTTGCCCTTAACTACAAAATCAAAGTTATCAGAATGTCACAAGGGAAAATTACTCTATGGTCCTGGGCCTGAATGCATGCCTTGCAGCACTGGATGAGTGCCTGAATAGATTCCCACCAAGGATAAAACTAGGGTTGTGGGGAAGAAATGAACTGTATGTTTAATTGTTAAACTCTTCCTCCCTGATGCGTTTCTCAAATCTTTTAATGCTTTTATTTTTTTTAAATTATAGATAGGAAGTTCATCTTGGGATATTTGTTAAATACATACCTTCGGCATCAATAATGAATTAATGATCCTGGAAGACTGAGATGGAGTCCGTGCAGCTACTCCCATTGTGGCTCTGCACTACTTTCAGCTGGCTCCTAAAACAATTTTAATGCAGAGCCACAGTGGGAGTTGCTGCCGGGACGTGGCGTGAGCCAGGACTGAGCCAGCCTGCAAGGAGGAGGGGAGGGAACTGTGTGTAACCAGTGGCATTAACCAATAAGCACGTGCTTATTGGTTAATTGTTTAATCAGATACACTATCACATCCCTACTTTGCAGTAGTAAATGCTATTCCATTGTTTAACTGTTAACATAAGAGTTGCATTTTATCGTGTGAATACTAAGTTTGTTTATGTTACTCCAGGTTGTTCTGGAATTAATAGAGCTCCGTGAATTGGGTGCTGCCAGATCCCTTCTGAGGCAAACTGATCCTATGATCATGTTAAAACAGACTCAGCCAGAGAGATACATTCACCTTGAGAATCTCCTGGCTAGGTCCTACTTTGACCCTCGTGAAGTAAGTTGTGTTTGTGGAATTTTTTACAAAAGTTATACTTATATGATTTGCTTGGAGAATTTGTAACTAGCATAACACTTTTGCATTTGTAACTAGTGTAACACTTATTAAAGAAAAGCTTGCTCTATTTAGTGTTTTTTTTCCTTCCAGATTTTCCTGTGTTAAACCATCCCCATTTCTCAAATTCTGTATTTGTTTGTTTTTATTTTGTTATGATACTGCAGTTGTTAGTGTTTGTTGAAGTTTCTACTAAGCACTTCATGAATTTGTTTTTTTTTAATATTCACAAGTAGCTAAAACACCGAGTTGGAGATCAAATTCAGTTTTAATTTCTGCCGCTGACTTTCAATATGATTTTGGGCAAGTCACCTAATCACTCTGTACCTATTTTCCCATCTTTATAGTGCCAGAAACAATACTTTTCTACTTTTGTCAATCTGAAAATGCTTTTGTCAATCTGAAAATGTAAGCATCTAATCGACTACCCGATAAGCCTAGGTTTATCAGATAGTCAAGTCATTACTTAGTCACATCTCCCCGTGGGGAGAGCAGGAGTTGGTGCTGTGGGGAGCCGACTTAAAAGTCAGTTCCCCCCAGCACCGTCTCTGTGGGGGGGGCACACAGGGGAGGCAGAGACTCAGCTGTCCTGGCTTGTGTCCAGTCCCAGACATGGTGCCTCTGCTTTTTAAATATAGCAAGAGCTGCCCAGCTCTTACTACATTTGAAAGGTAGAGCCGCAGCAGAATTAGCTCCCAGGGTGGGAGGTAGCCCTGCCATGGCTCTGCAGTTTCCCCCCTTATTGACTAATTGAGAAGTTGATGGAAATTCCATCAACTACTCAATTAACTGATTAAACGTAATATAACATCCTTAGTCCCAGAACCATCCATGGGGGTCACCAATGATGCTGGACTAAGGGTTCTGCCGGAGTAGGGAAGTCTGGATTACAGAGATTCAACCTATAGTTGTATTTTATTTTTAGTAAAAATGACAGTGTTCTATGACACAATTCTTCTAGGAAATGATGATTTCACTTGTATCTTCTTAGGCATATCCAGATGGCAGCAGCAAAGAGAAACGGAGAGCTGCTATCGCCCAGGCTTTAGCTGGAGAAGTCAGTGTAGTACCTCCATCACGTCTTATGGCATTGTTGGGGCAGGTAAATTTTTAGGGGGACAAAAAGTATACTAGCTATATCAATATGTTCCTAAAATTTTACTGTCCATGATTAAACTTATGGTGGCTTAGTCCTAAACGTGTGGGGGGGGTTGGGGGGGGTTGTTTGTTTGTTTTGTTGCTATAATAGACTGTCACTAATCTCACCCTTTATAAATAACACATGCAAATAAGTTTCTTCCCTCTTCGCAGCAAATATTTAGTTAGCTATAATGACCGGTCATATTCCTAAAATGATGGTAGGTTTGTGGGTTTTTTCTTTTTTACAAAATATGTTGCAGAATTCTACTGTTACGAATACATGATTACAAAGAAAGGTAAAATAAACTTGTCATGTAAATTGTATTTCATGAGGTTTTGCCCGTTTTTTTTTTTTTTTAAATTGATTGTTCCTTTTCAATACTGAAGTCATTGACAAAGGACTTCCTTGTGAATGTGAGCTAATAACATTCTACTGCAATATTTTTGTTGTTGCTCAAACTTTAAAGATAGTAAAGATCTTGGAGTCCTTGTAGATCACTGAAAACATCTGCTCGGTGCCTCAGTCAAAAAAAGCTAACAGTGTTAGGAATCGTTAAGAAAGGGATAGATAAGAAGACTAGGGATGTGGATGACTTTATTTGCTTATCGGATAGTTAACACGGTAGTCGACTAGTCGTTGTCCCCTTGCTGTCTCTATCAGAAAGTGGCAGCAAGGGGTGGGAGAAAAGGGGTTGCTTCAAAGAAGCAGTGCCGCATGGAGCCCAGAATCAGCTGGGGGGGACTCTCCTGAGCTCTGTGTGGCACTGCCGCTTTGAAATGCCGTGAGGAGCCTACAGCTGGGCTTCTCACAGAGTTTCAAAACGGTGAGTCCCGGGTCAGCAGGGGAGTTCCCAGCTGACCCCAGAGGCTCCACATGGCACTGTGGCTCTGAAATGTTGCAGGGAGCACAGGACTAGTGAAGGACTGCCCTGCTGGCACTGTGCTCCCCGCAGCACTTTCCCCAAGTGTAGCAACAGTCTACAATGCAAATTTCATTGACTATTTGATTAGTCAATCGAAATTTTACATCCCTAAATAAGACAGAAAATATCATAATGTCTCTATATAAATCTGTGGTGTGCCACATCTCGAATACTGTATTCAGATCTGGTTACACTATCTAAAAAAAGATATACTGGAAATGGAAAAGATACAGAGAAAAGCAACAAAAGTTACGAGGGGTATGGAGGAGCTTCTGTATGAAAAGAGGTTTAAAAAGATAGATTTTTTCAGCTTGGAAGAGATGACTAAGAGATGTTATGATAAAGGTTTATAAAGTCTTGAATGATGTGAAATTAATAGGCAACAAGTTTAAAACAAAAATAAAAGGAAGTATTACTTCATACAGTGCACAATCAACCTGTGGATCCCTGCCAGAGGATGTTGTAAAAGCCAAAACTGTAACAGGATTCCAAAAAAAATTTGGTACGTTCATGGGGAATAGGACTATTGATGGCTCTTTGCCAGGGATGCAGCACCGTGCTCTGTGTGTATCTAGCTTCTGTTAGTCTGAAGCTGGAAGTAGACAGTGGGATAGCAAACAATACATCCAACTGTCTGTCTGTCCTGTTCATTTCCTCTGAAGCACCACTATTGCAAGACAGGATGCTGGACAAGATGGACCATTGGTCTGACCCAGTGGGGGCATGCTTAAGAAAATTGATTTGAAATAAGTGGTTTTTGTGTCTGTTCATAAAAGGACTATTAAGGATCTTTTAGCATGTAAATAGTTCTGAATGTACAAAGAACACATTACTAAATACGTATCTACAACTTCAGATTTATATCAGCCTTTATCACTAAAGCATTGAAAAGAAAACAACTAAGGAGAGCCTGCAGCTATTCTTACTTCCTAAGAACACTTGGAAATAACAAAGATATGCTTAAACCTTTCCACTGGTTTCCAGAGTTTAGCAACAACATCATTTTGACCTGAAAAGGCTTTTTTGGTCACTCAGTTCAAAAGTAGAGGCACCAAACTTATTGCAGGTTTCTAGGGCAAGTTTGATTTACTAAGGAATTTGATGGAATACAGCCTCTCCTGAGAGGATTATACTGACCAAACTTACTTCATAAGCATCTTTAACTATACATTTTGGCTTCTCACAAGGCTCTGAAATGGCAACAGCACCAGGGACTGCTTCCTCCAGGGATGACCATTGATTTGTTCAGAGGTAAAGCAGCTGTAAAAGATGTAGAAGAAGAAAAGTTCCCAACACAATTGAGCAGACATATTAAGGTAGAAATCTATTCACTTTTTTCTGTATAATGCTTGATAATACTTGCTAAAGTTACCATAAGCCAAGACTTTCGTTTTAATTCCTTATCTTCACATGCTCATAGCTTTTTGAAAATTTATCCTTTTTACTTACGTCTTTCCGTCCTTGTTCTTGGTCCAGATGTACGTCACTGGAAGTTTTGATTAAAAACTATCGTTTAGAACGTGGGGGATACTAATTACATTTCAGAAAAATAGAAATGTGTTTCCAATTTCAGCTAGTTTTGAGTTGTGAATTTTAAATGCTATTGTGTTCTTGTTGACTTAAGGCTCTCATTATCTCCAGGAAAAAAGGGATGTTTTTCTACATGCATGTTAGTAACTTGCATTAATCATGAGAACTTTGATAGTAAGTACAGCGCTATGTTTAGTATTTTTCAACTAACATTTACATAGCTTTCTACCACAAAACAAACACATGACTTTTCATATAGATTTCAATTCAGAAATGGATTCTACTCTGAAATTTCTGTGCTCCTGCAAAGCTTGACTTACAGCAGATTGCTTTTCTGTTGTGGAGTGTGCAGATGAATTCCAGAAGCCCAGTATCTCCAGTTCATGCTCATTATCTCTGACAGCTTTCCCTGCAAGCTTCCAGTTCTGGTAATAACTAGAAAAAAGGGCTTACAGGGATCTCTGTGTCAGCAACCTGGACATGGACAGTCATGCATAGTGGTTGGAGAGGGAATCAATAGTCAGAAGACAGGAATCAGTATGGCATGGCAGAAACAGGATGAGGAATAAGCAGGTGCAGAAACTATTGCAGCCCTGTACAAATGCTTTAAGCAGCTACTCAACTGCTACTATGCTTAAATCCCTGTCTGCCTATTTTTCCAAGTCCAACTCATCAGGCGGTTTAGCCAATCAGACAGCCTGCTATAGGCAAGCTGTGTTGGCAAGGTTGCTTGGAGACAGTCTGCTGCTCATTTGTGTTGGTATCTTTCCATCAGCACTAAAGTCACTTAGTTTTAATTAAAGGTTTGATCTATACAGTCCAGACTTCATCTGTGGTTGATCTATGAAGTCCGGCAACATCTGTGGTTCAACAGTGCTGTGGGTGCTTCTGGGCAGGGATGGAAACAGATAACCAGCTACCTAGTAAGCATCAACCTTACTTGGTGATGCTTACTGTGAACCGGCACTCAGCTGGGCCCACCACGATGCGGGGAGCGCTCCAGTCTGACTGGGCAGGACCAGGCCCCCACTCACAGCATGGTGAGGCGAGGCCAACCCAGCCAGAGTGGGGGGCTGCTCCAAACCAGCCAGACTCACTGTGCCACGGGCAGGGGCTGCACCAGTGGTCCCCTGCATATGGCAGGCCAGTTAACTGGCTAAACATAGGCCATGTCTAGACTACATCTCTCTTTCGAAAGAGGGATGTAAATTAGACAGATTGAAATTGCAAATGAAGCCGGAATTTAAATTTCCTGCGCTTCATTTGCATAATGGCAGCCGCACGTTCTTTCAGAAAAGGGCTTTTCGAAAGTAAAACCACCATCTAGACGGGGTTCTTTCGGGGGGGAGGGGAACCCTTTTTCAAAAGATCCCGTACTCCTCTTTCGAAAAGGATGTTTCAAAAAAGGTTTTACTTTAGAAAAGCCCTTTTTCGAAAGAACGTGTGGCTGCCATTATGCAAATGAAGCGCAGGAAATTTAAATTCCGGCTTCATTTGCAATTTCAATCTGTCTAATTTACATCCCTCTTTCGAAAGAGGGATGTAGTTCAGACATGCCCATATTGTTTAATCAGCTAACATTTTAAACAGGATTTTACATCCCTATTCCTGGGCAGTAGCACTCACAGGAAAAGGTGGGCCCCATACTCAGCAACACTTCCCCCACCTTTCTTCTGTCTCATCTATGCTGTCAATATTGGGCTCCTGATGCCACCCTAGCAGAGCCCTGCAGCCAGCGGTAGCAAAAGATATCAACATTTTCATCAAACTTTGTTGCTAAAAAATAACTATCTCAATTAACATGATTAGCATTGTGGGAAAATAATTGAAGATCATTTTGTATTGTGACAGATTTTGAAATGGAAAAAAAATACATATTTATGAAGGGAAAAATCTTTTACTTCCCTTATCCTATTTTTTCTAGCATGGGGTGGGATTTTTTTTCATTCAGGAAAAGGCATTTCAAACAAAACAATTTTTTCTGCTTTGTTAAGGTTTGTTAAGTAGACATTATAAAGGTCTCCATTGCATCCATGACTGCAAAAATTAAATTAATGAAAGCTAACTACTTTTTAAAGCGTAAACTGGCTGACATTGAAATAAAAAAGCTGCACAAATAGTTATGAAAAAGGAGTAGGATGTGGGTGGTTTGTTTTGTTTTCCAGGCAGCCCAGTGGAGCTGGCAGTTAATGAAACTGACCTCATATTAACATCCTTTTTTAAAAATTTCATTTGAAAACAGTTTGGCCAGAAGTCACATGTGGAATGCGCTAGGTTTTCTCCAGATGGTCAATATCTGGTAACCGGCTCTGTGGATGGATTCATTGAAGTGTGGAATTTCACTACTGGAAAGATCAGAAAGGTAATTTAGTTCTGGGTTCAAGTGCCTTTAATAGACAGAAGTATCCATAGTGAAACTACTGTGAGGTTTCTTGTAGTCAGCAGACTGCTTGGGGTTGAGTGTTAAGGAGAAAAAAGAAAAACAAGTCACCAGAATGATCAGTCCTGTAGGCTGGTGCCATTAATTGAAAAGAGCTGAGCATGTAAGATGAGAAACTTAGGCATGAGTCCACTTAATACTTGCCTTTGTTTATGAATTTTAAAAAAGGGCTATCGTTGCTTACAGTTTCTGATCCTATATATATGGCCTAATAAAACAGTTAATGGTCCCTTACCTGTTCCATGTTATCAAGTACTGGAGTACCCAGAAGCTTGTTGTTTGGGGTTGTTTTTTTTTGTACCGTTCTGTAATACATATTCATTAGTCTTGTTCCAATCAACTTTAAAATAACTCATAAATATGCATGTTCAGGCTTTAATTTACATACAGTTTGCTGTTCACTCTTTTTTATATCTTGGTTACCTTAGCTCTGTTTTTTCCCCAATGTTATAGGGATTTTTTAGCATTATATGTTGGACAGAACAGAAATAATCAGTATAAATATACATCTTCCAACATAGTAAGTTCCATAAACAAAAATTCACCTTTATCTTGTCTGTTGTAAGCCTCATGTAAGAAAGGGAACATAAGAGAGAAAGTGGAAGACAGCACTCATCTCAAGCAAAGACTAGGCCAAAGCCTTAACATAAATGTTACCATGACCTATCCAAAGGTAGTTCACTATGCATAGTTTAATCTTAATAATTTATCATTAATATAACATGGCCCTTTTTGCCAGTTAGCAGTTTTTCATCTTTAGATGTGTATCATCCTAAATTATTCATTAACATAAGCTGGGTTTTTTTTGTTATTTGAGTAGGATAGTTATTGAGAACGACATGCCCTACTATCAGAATAGTCTTATCTTTTTCAAACTTAGATTTCCAGGGGACTTTTTACTCAAAGTTTAGCACCGCACTGGTAAATCATTAAAAAGTTTTGTCAATAATTTTGTATGTTGCGTTTTGAGGTGCTTTATTCAGTGTAAGACCTAGATGTGTGTGTTGTCCTCAGTACTCTCCCATCCAATGTTCTTGGAAATACAGTATTTTCAAGTGTGGAACTTATTTTACATGATGGGGTAGAGTGCACATTCCTATGTTTGAGGTTTTTGTCTTTTTTTGCCAGTTTTTAATGTGTTGTGTTTTATAACAACAGTTACTGCACTGCTTATAATGTAACACTTACATTCATGACAGTATTTTAAAACTAAATATAACTGGGCATTTCCCAACTGGGTTTATTTGATCCCATAATCTGTTGGTTTTAATATTTGTTTTATGTGATTATTTGCTGTATTTACTTATTTATTTGCATATGAATGGAAAGCTCGTACTTTGTGGTGACAAAGGCCTTAGACATAGATTTAATTTAGCAATGGCTCGTATAAAGTTAGGAAGCAACCTCATCACCTCAAACCAAAGCTTGGTTGACATTATTATTATTTATTACTGGTTCAACATTTAGGTCTAGGTATGATTTTGACTGGTTCAATCATAGTTTTGAATTTAGAGGTAAAATATCAATTGAACTGATTCATTGGGGTTTCTTTCCCACCCTCATTGTATTTTAGATGTTATAGAACCACACAGTATCCTCTATTCCCCACATATGTCGTATAGATTTGTTGTTCAGATTGCAGGTGCCCGATGGAACGTGGCCTGTTCCACATTCATTAACATAATAGTCCACTTATAGTTGTGAGTTGAATTCTTCCATTCATTTTGATACTAATTAGCTATTGGTGTTTAGTTTTGGTTTTTTGGGTTTTTTTTAAACCCTCAACCGCTGTGACTGATGGATCTTTGTGCTGTTTCATTTAGGATCTGAAGTACCAAGCACAAGATAACTTTATGATGATGGACGATGCAGTTCTGTGTATGTGTTTCAGTAGAGATACCGAAATGTTAGCAACTGGAGCGCAAGATGGGAAGATCAAGGTAAGAGTTCTTGCACATGAATGCATGGCAACTTTTAAATTTGAGAAGTTGGAAATGGAAAAGGGTCTGACGCTCAGCTCCTAATTTCCCCATGCACTGAAAATAAATATATTGATATAATTTCATCCTCTCCTGTATTAAACTTAGCCTATGAGTTGATTTTTAACACTCTTTGTATTAAAATATTATGCCTGTCTTGAGAAAGGAATTGATTTTACACTCCGCAGATTGTGGATTTCATGCCCTGTGATCTCGTTACATGAGACTGTTAAATATGTAATTATACAAGCTGTAAAAGTCCATTTGCTCTTGCTAGCTTGGGAAACTTTTTCAAAGCATATCTTACAGAAAAGGAGAAGGCTATTATGCATATTCAATAACAATTGTCCCTCTACCCCGCCCCTTCCCTTCCCTTATTTATTTTTGGATCATCTGAAGAAGTGGGTTGCGCCCATGAAAGCTCATGATACCATCTACGTGGTTTTTTTTAGTGTTTAAAGTGCTACTAGTCTGTTTGTTGTTTTTTAAGTTTTAATGGTCCTTTAGTCTTGCATAAGGCATTTTGTATGTGCAGTGCATTAGGTATAGTAGCCTCAGACGTGAACAAGTATAATGTGTCTATTTGTATATCTAACACTCTGGTTTTGAGATACTCCCAGCCAGGCTTTGATCTTCTAGAACAATCTGGATAGCTGTGGCTCATTTTTGCCGATAGAAAATTTGTATCCATATCTGTATCTAGAACCCTGAAAATTTGCAGATATTTGCTTTGCATACATGGATATCGATGTGGATATCCACAACTCATTTTTGTGGATATGGATGCAGATACAAATCTGTGCAAGGCTCTGCAAATGCAACTGCAGACCGACGGTTTATCTGTCATCTGTGGGATCTCACATGCCAGCAGCCCTGCTATAGGATCACATCTGACAGATGTTTAACTCCTAAGAAGGTGTTGTGTGCCCCGGCTGGCTGTCTTCAATCAGGTTTTGTCTACACTGAAAAACTTCCATTTAGAACAAGTATAAAAGCTAAATCCTTTTATTGAGGAAAAACACAGTACCTTACTTACTTGTTGCACAAGTTCTAGTCAGAATCCACTATCTTTGCAAAATATGGAGTAGATGCAGTGTGAAGAGAGAGTAGTCAGCAGCTAAAAGTAGGACAGGAAAGGAAAACTTCAGCTAAAGTCCAAATTCAGAGAGCTCCCATTGAAAGCCTATGAAGAGAATTTCAGAAAATGTTAATTTAGTGATAACTGCACACCTACCTGGCCATCTACTTGCAAAAAAAAAAAACCCAAAAAAACCAGGAATTTACAACCCCATTTTAAATCCATCCCTAACTATGGAGTGCTTTCTTGTGCCCCTCGAATTTGTGCATTTTAGGGTGTAAAATAATATTTGAAAATTTGACAGACTCAGAGAGTCCTGGAGTGGGGATAGGTCTGTCACAACAGAGGATAAGGAGAAAAATTCTGAGGGCAGCTACATTGCTGGGATGATTCTGCACCTGAATTTGTAATAGTTATTCACAAATATTAAATTAATCTGAAGCTTCAACAGAAATGTCGTCTTCCTGACTCAGGCTAATTCTACACTGCCACTTTACTGTGGTGCAACTTTCTGGCTTGAGGGTGTGACCCCTAGCCCCCCATGAGTGCAGCAAGTTATCAGTGTAAACTTCTCCCCAGCTCTGTTAGGTACTCCCCTTGTGGAGGTGGTTTACATACAGGGCTGGAAGAGCTCTCTGAGCTTCTGCCGAGGCTGCACTTTTACTTTAGAAATATAAACAAAACTTCAGACCAGTATAGTGATGTAATGCTCCAGTGAGAGACTCTCTATATGGGATGTAATTTTATATTAACCATCAGACATAACCAGATCTGAAGCTGTTTTGTGTCTAGTAGCGGAGAAGGGCAAGAGCAAGCATACCACACAACTGTTCTTATGTGTAGTTGCAAAATCAAAGCCCCTCACCTTTCCCACATCAGCTAGAAACTTCACCACTCCATTTGCCAAAGTCTTGTTTGAATGCAAACTGAGTAGTCATGCAGGTGCCTCTTAGATATATGTCCTATAGTGTTAAGTATTTTAAAGGGTAAAAACAACTCGATCGGGGTTTTTTAACTTAGCTTTTGATCCTGGATGCTCACCATCTTAGTATTGAATACCTTCTGAATGTCACATAATTTTCATGGAGTCCTTTTTCTCACTAGTGTTTTGGATGTCCCTCAGGTGTGGAAGATTCAGAGTGGGCAGTGTCTGAGGAGGTTTGAACGAGCACACAGTAAAGGTGTCACCTGCCTCAGTTTCTCCAAAGACAGCAGTCAGATTCTTAGTGCTTCCTTTGATCAGACAATCAGGTATGTTATACATTACAGCCTTCAAATGTACAAAAAGCTCTAATAGAAGTTGTAAGTATAATTTCTTTAGTCCCCTTATATAAGTCTTTGAATGCGTTTATCTTACATGAAAGCTAGTCCCTAGTGTCAGTTTTTAACATTCATAAAATTACTTGGCTCTTTACTCTTGAACAGATAGTTTACATTTTTGCCCTTTCGGCTTTTGTAACCTATTGTTATCCTATTTTCATTCCAATGTTAGCAGGAAATGCTGGCCAGGGTGTTTTGTTGTGTGCTTATTTAAAAGCATTTCTGTCCCCAGATTCAACAGCAGACATTTTAATACTCTCAAAACTGATGAGAATT